AGACTCAAAAAATATCTTACCCTGACCGTAGCATCAAACTCGTAACCACTGGCGCAGTACGATTTGACTGCAACTCCACTAACGCATAAGTAGAAAGCATTATATTCGTCTGGATGGGGGACATTCCCGTAAGCGTCCGGAGGACAGGGACCATCATCCTCTGTTGTTGATCCTTGTGTTGTGGTGGACACGGTTGTATCGTCACCAGTTGTTGTTGATCTTTCCGTGGTCGTGCATCCATCGGGAGGTGTTTGTTCTCCTGTTGTTGATCCTTGAGTTGTTAAGGACATAGTCGAATCGCCAGCAGTTGTTGTTGATCCATCCGAAAGTGTTGGTTCTCCCGTTGTTGTTGATGATCCCTGTGGAGAAATGTGTTGTCGTAAAGTGAACATTAATGTTGGTAGCTAAGTCTTATTTTTCAAAGAAATAGCGACAGATAAAAGTAGTTTAATTTAAGATGTGGTTTATATTTTATGGATTATGTATTATGATTAAATCTTTGTCCAAATGGTAATTATTTGCCGTAGCCTCTAATGCCCAATTCCCACATTGCAAGAATTTTATTCGTACAGTTTTATTTGTATAGTGATATTTTCGATCCAAAGTTACACATACCTTTAAATAATTTTTCGCATCTTTCCCTAGATGATGTAAGTTATGCACGATAATTTTTTATTACTAAAATACTTGAAGATTCTAACTATACTTGTTCCTACTCTTATCTGGCACGAAATTATTCAGTTTCTTTTTTTACTTTGGGACATAATTTTTGTATTCCTTATTAAGGTAAAAATAAATATCGTTTTTACCTGAATAGTGTGATCGAAACTTGTTGTTGTTGTTGCTGCTGCAATTGTTGTTGTTGACGATGAACTTGATGGTGGATGAGGACAATCAATTTGAAACGCCCAGTTGCAGACCTGGAAGATGAAGTTGCAGTTTTATTGTCTATACAAGAACAGGCTGACTTGACTGCCTCGTTGGCCGAGTGGTCGCTAGTGCGACTGCCGGGCAACGGGTCTTGGCTTCGAATCCCGAGTGGGGCAAAGTTTTACTGGGATTTTTATGAAATTATCAGTATTTGCATGGAGTCTGGAAATGTGCCCGATTATGGCAATAGGCTCACCCCCTATTACATAGGACTCATAACATAAATAGTGATAAGTGGGTGTTAATTTGTACAGTGGCATTAAGTGCCGTAATGTGCACCTCTGCCTACCCTTCGGGGATAAAGACGTGATGTTATGTACGTACAAGAACAGGGATAAATTATAGTCTGGATTAACAGGTCGGTTATCTCTTGTCTCACTCTTATCTCATCATACTATCACAATACCTTGAAGCAATAGAAACATGTATGAAAAAGATGTGAATGATACCTTAAATAAGGCAATAGAATGGCTAGATAGCAATAATTTGAAAAATAATATTAATAAAACAGTAATATACATTTTAGCCAACGGGCATTGACATTTCCTAAATTTGACATTGAATATAATAATAATACTATAACTACCGGAAACATATAATTAAGGATGGGACGGTCGACATATGTCGGGCATGTCATTGTCCTGGTGAATCCATTAGACAAATTATTTCTGGTTGTGGTCGTTTGGCTAACAGTGAATATTTGCATAGGCATAATCAAGTAGCCAAGATTATTCATCAGCAACTTGCTTTACACTATCGACTTGTTGAGTCTGAGGTACCGTACTACAAGTATGTGCCCGACCCAGTTCTGGAAAATGACCATATCACATTGTACTGGGACCGGTCTATCATTACTTTTCTTTTCTTTCTTTCTTTTTTAAATAAACGTTGCCCCACACTAGGATTATCTCCTGTGTCGTGGGTGCGTTTACATTATTACAGACTGACATTACTGACAGGACTATTGTAGCCAATAAACCTGACATAGTAGTGATAGACCAACAAGTACGCCGCACGATGATAATCGATGTCACTATTCCCCAAGACGAGAACCTCGTGAAAGCTGAGAAAGATAAACAAATAAAATATAGACTAGACTTAGCTCACGAGGTTGTCGACATGTGGAGTGTGGATTCGGCTATCATTGTACCGATAGTCGTGTCGGCCAATGATTCAATCCCTAAAAGCCTCGTATCCATCTTAGGAGGCTGGCGTTAGGTGGATGGATCAAGGGCCTGATCCAGAAGGCAGTTCTCCTAGAAACAGCACGTATCGTGAGGAGGTTTCTGTCTCTGGAGCCCTAACCACCGGTAGCTTGTACCATGCTCCCGCTACTGGTCAGCTCCTATTTTTTATATTTTTAAATAATACTTTTTGTTTGTTTTTATTGTAACAGTAATAAGTAGACATCATTTTTAATTATTATTATTATATTGTTTTAAATGTAAAATGATGGTTACTCTGACATATTACCCTGCGGACTCTCCGTCCGCGTACCGGCCCATAGTGCTGCTCGACGAGGTGGGGAAAGTCTTCAAAAGAATCGTTTCGAACCGCCTCGTCGCGCACCTGTCGGATGTTGGGCCGGACTTGTCGGACGGCCAGTTCGGCTTCCGCAGAGGGCGCTCCACGGTGGACGCCATCATGCGCGTTAGGGACTGGACGACAGGGACTGCAGTGTCCAGGGTAAGGTCTTTGTGGCGGGGTCTTTGGACATCACCAACGCCTTCAACTGCCTACCCTGGAGCTGCATTTTGGAGGCACTCCGATATCATCGGGTGCCTACCTATCTCCGTCGAGTAATCGTGGTCTACCTGACGGACAGATCCGTCAGTTACCCCGGTCACCAGGGCGAGTGGAACCGGCGAGAGATGTCACGCGGTGTTCCACTGGGTTCGGTTCTGGGGCCGCTCCTGTGGAACATCGGTTATGACTGGGTGCTGCGCACCGACCTCCCGAACGGCGTTAACATCGTATGCTACGCCGACGACATGCTGGTGCTGGCGCACGGGAGGTCGCACCAGGCGGCGGCCGATTTAATGGCGACAGCGGTTGCGACAGTCGTTGAAAGAATCCGGCAGTTGGGACTCGAGGTGGCGCTCCACAAGTCCGACGCCATGTGCTTTCATGGCCGCGGGAACGCGCCACCTCAGGGTGGATCTCAAATAACGGCGGGAGGGGTTACCATTGGCGTCGAGACGACGATGAAGTATCTGGGACTCGTCCTCGACAGTCGGTGGAACTTCGTGGAGCACTTTCGACGTTTGGCTCCAAAGTTGGAGAGGACGGGGGCTGCGTTTAAGCGCATCCTTCCCAACCTCCTGCCGGAGGTTATACGCCGGGGTCGTGCGGTTCATGGCCATCTACGGCGCCCCTGTGTGGGCGCCGAACCTGATGCCGGGGCCCGCTCGGGCGCTGCTCATGGCACAGAGGGTCATGGCGATCCGAATGATCCGCAGATACCGCACGATCTCCGGGGAGTCGGCGAGCCTCCTTGCCGGATTACCGCCGTGGGATCTGGAGGCGAAGGTGCTCGCGCGCGTGCACAGCATGCGCGCGGAGGCACGTCGCCGGGGCGAAACTCCGCTGCCGCGCCAGATAAGTGCGTGGCGGGATGAGCTCCGGCGCGATCTCATGGCGGAATGGCAGCAACGACTGTCGCAACCGAGGGCTGGGCTCGCTGCCATCGCAGCGGTAAGTCCCCTCTTTGAGGAGTGGCTTGAGAGACGCTACGGCGTCCTCACCTACCGCCTGACGCAGGTCCTCACCGGACATGGAAGTTTCGGGAGGTACCTGTGTCTGATGGGGCGGGAGGAAACGCCCGGGTCAGTTTCGGGAGGTACCTGTGTCTGATGGGGCGGGAGGAAACGCCCGGGTGTCATCACTGCGAGGACCGCCCTGAGGACACGGTGGAACACACGGTGGGAGAATGCCCTTCGTGGGCTGAGCACCGCCGTGTCCTCAGGGAAGTGATCGGCGATGGCGACCTCTCGCGTCCGGGCCTAGTGCAGGCCATGATGCGGAGCGAGGGGGATTGGGATGCCGTCTCCTCCTTTTGCGAAGCAGTCATGCTAGCTAAGGAGGAGGCGGGACGCGTGAGGCAGCGAAGCGCTGCCTCCTCGCAACCCAGCCATCGCGAAGGACACACCGGGCGTCGGGGATCGCGGGACGATCTCCGGCCACCGTAAGCGCGGGCCTGCGGACGGCGAGCATGGGTGGCTCCCCGTCCGACCAGAAACAGACCCGAGCGTACGGCGCGTCGCGTTCCGCGCGCGCCTCAAAGAGCCATCAGACCACCACAGATGGGGCCCAATAGGGCCGATGCCGATTCGGAGTCGCGGAGAACCTAACGGGTAACCGGGGCTCCGGCTCGACGTGCAGGAGAAGGAACGGGGTGGTTTTTAGTCAGTAAGAGTCTGACACTCCCTCCCGCCTCACCCAGGCGGGAGCAGTCATTCCGCATTCGATGATTTTCCCCCCTTAAACTGTCAAACACCAAGCGGTCACCGGTGACCGCAACCTATTGTTCTATAATTGTGTCTACAAAACCGGTACTCGACGACTTAAAAAAGAAAAAAAAACTCTGACATAATATTATCAATATTCCATCAATGTCTAATATTGAATAAGGTTTCCACATTCGAAAGATGTCGGTTAGTTCGCAATCATTATGAGTGACTACTATATTTGCACGCCATTGTAAACGGCAGAACGGCTGTCTCGAACTATTTTCACTGCTACCCGCTATCTTACATGCTATTGTGTATTGTATGTACACATGTGTTTGAGCAAATGAACATGATTTGATTTGATTTGATTTCGAGGTTATAAAATAAAATATATACTGCTTACTTACTTGCATATTAACGTCATATAGTGTGCCGGGTTCACAGCTCATTTCAATTTTTTTGCCATTACTACAACTGTAGTATTTTGAACAGTCTGACTCATGTGGCAGCAGAATGTGTACTTGGAAGTCTGACGGACAGCCATTGGGCAGGTACTGGGCTGACGACGCAGCTATCAACGTCAAAAATGAAATAATTTTGTACATGTCTGCTGAAAAATAAATATAATTTAAAAATCACTGCGTTTATGAGGTTTCTTCTCTCCCCAAACTCTCCAATCATAAAAATTCCTAAGCCCCAAACACATTTGTAACGCCTATGGTGTTGCGAGTCTCCATGTGATTAGGCCTGGATATTTCCACAATGAATTCAAAAAGAAACAGACAATTGGCGGGAACGCGGAGCGTTTTCAAACATGCTTCCTCAATCAATGTTTCGGCGGCCGGCGGGGCTTCGAATTTTGAATTTTAGCGCGAATGCAAATTCAGAACGTTACCATTGCGTTACCACCATTTTCTTATCACGCTGTGTTTGTGTTTATAGTGCTTTGATTATATAATTTCTAGATGAAGTGTCAGTTCACGAAAAGCTGCAAAAAAGTTTACAGTGATATTTCAAGTTTCAAGTGTTCACTGCAAATGCACTTTCCCGTCAAGGAGTACCAATTGTGTCACCTAGGCGTCACTGCGTGTATGCACGCTTGACGCTACAAAATAAATTTGTAAACAAAACAAAATACACTGCAAAGATGGCCACTTGGTCCATGTGCTAAAATTATAAATGACGGTTAAAAAGTACTAAACTCACTTATCCATCGCTAAGTAATTAAAAATTACATTATTCAATTTATGTTTTTGACCTAAGTAATTGCCGCCATATTTTATCAGTGTTGCCAATTTATTTTTCAATATTCCCTTCTCACGGGTCTCATAAAGAGGGAAAAATTAACAAAAAAATGTCAGTTGGTTGTTATATTTTTATTATTTATTGAACTAACACTTACTTACCTACGCTTTAATTTACTATTTATTCTAACCGACTAAAAAAAGACGGTTCGTTTCGAATTTCGACAGTTATTTTGGAATGATTTAATCGATTATGTATTATTTTTTGATGAAATCGCTCGATCATAGTTCGATCGAAGTCCTATCCGAAATCGGTATTCACGTGATCTATAATCGGGGCTGGATAGGACGACAATTCAACTGACTCGAATCTAAACGACAACTAAACGATTCACCAATGTTAATTGCCATTTTTTATACATAAAATCAATGCGACGACATTTTCCTGAAGCGAAATGTTCAATCACCTTTTTATTAAAATCAGGTAGGTATTGTTTGTATGACTTTATTTTCAATACAACAAATTAGCGCGTCACACTTACAGTGAAACCGTGAAACTATACTGATTGTCTGATATCGAGATGTCAATCATGTCATGGCGTCGCGTCGCCTCGCCCCCAAGCCGGCCGGCCGATTCGTCAAACATCGGGTGCTCTCGCGCGTTCTCTCGTCCTCTTTTACAAGCGCGTTCCGTTTCAACATTCTAGCATGACACTTCTGTGATACCTATAGACTCGAGTAAAAATTGCTGTTTCACGAGGTCGTTGACATCATCTAAACTATCGAAAGCTAGATTCATAGACTCACTGTCCGACTTGTGACGAGTACTTAAATCCACAGGTAGGTACCTATGTGAATAATTCAACGTAACTTTGTAATGCCGGGGCCACACTACCGTCAACGTCAATGCCGATTATCGCGATGTTTACTACGATAATTATTACGATAATTTTAACGCGATAAAGTGGGTGGCTACACTTAAAATTTCAACGTGAATGCCCATCATGCCAAATGGCAATGTGAATGCCGTTGTCAAATTATCGCGTTGACTCGTGGCTACACCTACGGTGAACGTGAATTATCGCGATAAACAATGGCATTTCTCGTTGGTGTGGCCCGGGCATAAGGGACGCTATAGGTTGTATGTATGTACAATTGTCTTGCTTGACCGATTAGAATCATAGGTTTTGCGCACGACATTTCACACAAATCTAATCACGCAGATGTTCGTTATTATTAAAAACTCTAGCAGACAGTTTGGGGAGGTAAATTTAAATCATCAATAGTTCGTAACATAATATCATGGCATACGCCGTTCGGACCGCGAATTAAATAATAGTTAACGCAGTTACCCTACGTCAATCACTTTCTTTCATTACAATACCGCGTGCACTAACAATTCCTAACGGAGATGATGGTCCACTAAAATAACACATACCTACGAACTATAATTGAATATTATTAACAATAATAGTTAGTTACAGGCAAAATATTTAACAAAGTTTTGGTGGTTCAACACCGCTCAGCGCTCACCCATACTCGTCACTCTGCAGCCAAAACGGCGATAACGCGGGCCTACGCGGACTGTACCTGTAATGTAGGTACATGGGCCGCCTCCGTGGCGGCGGGCGGCGACGGCCGGCGGGTGCACGACGCCGCACCCGGGCTCTTGTCTTCTCGTAGTGTAGAAACGTGTGATGTGGACAACAACACTTTGAACATCGTTTTGCAAGACAACGATAACGGAATAGTTTTACACTGAACACTTGAAACACGTTTAAAGTTTATTGACCTTTACGAAGTCCTAGTTTTCGTTTTCACTTTTAGCCACGAACTTATTGCACTCGGGTGTTCGGTGACCCGCACTATTAGGTACATAACGCGCACGCACTCCATGACGAACTCGGTGTCGTAGGTACCTCGCTGGTGCAGTGGTGCACTCGATCAGCTGGTCTTTGATGTAGACGAGCGGCACCAGCGCGCCTCGTGCTCGCAGCTCGACGTCGCGGCGACAGCGGGGTAGGCAGCGGTGGCGATGTTCCGACTGCGATTATTATGTTCGGTGCTTATAGGAGAGATTATAATTTTGATAATTATGGTCGCTTCGACATACTTGTAATAATAACATCGGCTAGATGCATGATCTCCGAGGCTGCGACGGCGCGGGTGGCAGCCGCGGCCGGAGGCAGAGCCCCGGCGCCTGCGTTAACTTAGCGGCGGCCGTTGGGGACTTGGGGACGCCGCCGCTCGCTGGCGCGAACGTCTAGCGTCTCTCGGTCCGCGCATGCGCGTTGTGCATGCATTAATATCCGCGATGGCGATGGATGGCGGAATGCGAATACGCGCGGGGCGCCGGCGGTATTTCCTCGTGTTCGCATGGGGTTGCTGGTGTCGAAACAGTCATCCATATTTTGACCAGAGACGAAACTCATCGCGCGATCCTCTGAGTCCTCAATCTCGACGATCTTCAAGGCCAGCATTTTCTTGGTGAGTCGTTCCCGTGTTCTGGCTAGTTCTTCTTCAGCTTTACTCGGCGCGGAGACGAAGCGTTTCGCGGCTGAGGCGGCTCGATCCGTCGATCGCGACTCGGTCGACGTGGCCACAACTTCACTACGCGACGCCGTAGGTACTTACAGACGCAATTTCCGTAGGTACCGGGACGCTCAACTTCAGCATGGACTTTGCTTCGTGTTACGACACCGCTCCGGCTCGAAGGACCAATGTAACAGATTAGGCCTGGATGTTTCCACAACGAATTCAAAAACTGAGAAAATTGGCGGGAACGCTACGCGTTTTCCAACACGCTCACTCACTCAACGTTTCGGCGCGCGACTGTTGGTTGTTTTGTTTTGTTTGTTTGGCAGTGTTGGCGCGACGCGAGCGCGGACGCGGAGCCCGGGAGCCCGCTCGAGCGTGGGCGGGGCTTCGAATTTTGAATTTTAGCGGGAACGCGAATTGACAACGTTATTTTATTACTTTTTTTTCTTACTACATTTTTTTCTTATCGCGCTACAAAGGAGGTATTTAACAAAGAGTTGCTTACACCATGGATGATGGATGATGGATTTTTTTTCTATAGAGCGTAGCAATTTTAACCAATCCAGCCTTAATTCTTTTATCTAAGTAATCCTAAACATATCGTATATTCGATGTAGATCAATAAAGCACAGCATACAATTGAGTGAGTATTTACTAAGATAATATAAATTAAAAATGCAGGGAAAATACCGTTGCGACGGTACCGACCGATACGCGGTAGCGGCTGCGCGGGTGCGCGGGTCCATACCTATAAATCCTTCTTTGCGTTGCCTCCGTCGTCGCCCTCTTTTTTGAAGTCGATTAAAAAAAACTGCACGAGAATCTGTTGCGTAGTTTTAAAAGTCTAAGCGTAGGTACTTAGGGACGTCCGCTTAGATTTTTAAACAAATTTCCGCAGCAAAGCGACTTTGTTCTATACTATGTAGTAAATTAAATATTAAAAAATAAGTTAGATAATATAAAATCCTTAAAACTATTTACGTACGTACAACCCACAGTTACAAGTCTCTCTTTAAAACTTCATCTTGCAATATTATCAAACAAATGTAATGTAAATAATAATCACTACATGGTATAAAACAAAGTCGCTATCCGCCGTCTGTCTGTCCCTATGTATGCTTAGATCTTAAAAACTGAGCAACGGATTTTGATGCGGTTTTTTTTATTAGATAAGAGTGATTCTTAAGGAAGGTTTATAATAAAGCTGGGGCGGGTCGCTAGTCTATATATAAAAAAGTTAATACTGTATAATTGAATATTTTTTACAGAGTACCTACTTTTGACGGGATGTCAGGCGAGTGGCAGGAGTTACATGGCACAGAGTAGGATAAGAACGACATGAATGGAAAAGGTTGGAGGACGCCTTTGCCGACCGGGGCAGATCTCCAGAAAATTAGTAGGTAATAGATATTTTATAGATACTAGACCTAAACAGTTAACAATTTAAATTATTTGACAGTTTCAAGTTGGACCTGAATTAAGAGCCATTTTATTTTTTTATTTATTTACTTGTGACGTGTTATTGAATCGATATCGAAGCCTAAAAATATAGTTTTTTTTATTTTTGTATGTTTGTCTGTATGTACATATGTCCGGGCTAAATTCAAAAAGTACTGCATAGATTTACTTCAAACTAGCTGTTCCCCGCTACTTCGTCCGAGTAAAATAATAACTTTTGGTATAAATTGGGTTTTATAAGTAATTAGTCTTTTCCAAGGTATATTCCACGGCTGTACGACTGTAACAAATGCCATCAGAATCGATTCAGTACTTAGGTTTTTTGAGGGGATAAATCATCCAATTACTTCTCCCGTCTTGGGGTA